TGAAATTGAGCAAATGTGGGGGAAAATAAGAGAAAGCCTTGGCATACCTCCCGCTTGCTGTGCTTTGGTACTAAAAGTAGGACAAGACAAGCAATTACATAAAATAGTGCACAATAAACACATGGAGGGAGATTTAAAGGAAATTGTGTGTAGAAACGGACTGAATTACGATTAGTATGGGGTAGATATGTATACCTCTTCACTCTTGCTTTCAGTTTCATGCAGTAGAGCTTGAGCTTCACGTAGTTTTGTTTCAAGCTCGGCACATCGATCTTCGTCCACATCCACTCGATTCTCCAACGATTTTCGTGCTCTATACAATCAAACCAGTTAGCAACACACGCACATTATCCTAAGGAACAGGGTCTGGCTTGTGTCGTAAATGGAGAGAAAGAACCAAGGGGACCGCTGGTGTGTAATGGTGATGCCAATCTACACTAAGGTGGTTTCAGCGCTAAAAGTCAGTCGAACCACATTCCTTTCCTTCTTCTTTCCTACTAACCACTTTCGGATCTTCACTGGTTTTACATACTTTTGCGTAAGACCACTACATCTTAGACCTCTTAAGGGAAAGCCTATTTTAAAGAGTTTACATCTAGGCTGCAATCAGGCAGATGTTCTTGAAAATTTTCCTAAAAATCATTATTTGAAAGCGCTTCGTTGCAAAAAATTCAATACCAAGAAATTCATCTCTGCAGATGTGCAATGAATGAAATTTTGGAAGTGGTGTGTAACGTGAAATTACACTATCTACATGGTCTACACAGATCGGACGCCAGCAAGCCAGACTCTGCTCTCCTAATGGAGCAAATTATTAGATTTTAAAATCTAGTTAGATGGTTGGGTAACTTCGGAAATTTCAATTGAAAGAAGGTTCTGGGAAATAATGAGACGTAAGGCGCTGAAATGACATAAAGACATAGAAAAGCATGCTTTCACATTAATTCGACACATCACAACATCCTCTCGATGAGGAATCCAGAAGGACGGGGATGGATGCGGGTCGACACACACAGAGAATCACACAACGACTGCCAAAAAAGGGAACACTGAAAAACCGAAACCGCAGAGGGTGGCGGTTGCGGTAATTGCGGACCTCTTCATATTTGCGGTCAGCGTCTTCAGCAATCACTTTGGCCTCATCGACCTGAGTTTCGAGGAAGTTCGCGCGTTCCTCATCCTGTTGCGAACGTGTCTCCATTGACTTGCGAGCACTGCACAAAACATAAAGTAATTTACGACACTTGGACTTGACGTAACAGTTTACTGATTTTGGTTAATTTAAAGGACAAAGGACATTTTTTGGACGAGTTTTGTTCTGCTCTGTTCTTTCTCGATTTAGAAAGAAGCAATCACAATTCGACATTGGACATCACAATCAGCGGCAAGCGGTCGGCAGGTGGCCATCGGCGGCTCGACGAAGGCTTGCCACCAACCGCTCGGATTCGTCGACATTGTGAGTGGCCTCTTCAAGTTTTTCAGTGGCAATCTTCAAACGTTCTTCAGCTCGCTCAAGTTCCTCTTCAAGAAGAGTCATACGGCGATTTAGGGCAGCTACCTCTGCCTCAGCCTGTAACGGGTTAGCCTATCTTAAAGGGAAAACATAAAAATCCATACCGTTCAGCCTCATCAGCTGCTTTGGAGGCCTCCTCTAGTTTAGAAGTGGCGATCTTAAGACGATCTTCCGTGCGTTCCAAGTCCTCTTCGACCAACACAATACGACGATTCAAAGCTGCTACCTCAGCTTCGGCCTATAGTTGGGATAGGGGGTAGTC